GCAAGAGTCACAATAGACTTCTTTCAACATAATGATGTCACATTGTTACCATGGCCACCAAGATCTCCCGACTTATCCCCAATTGAGCACGTGTGGGATATGATGGGTAAGAGATTGCTCAATTTGAAACGTCCTCCTCAGACTCTAGAAGCACTTCGAGAGGAGTTGGTGGTTGCCTGGAATGAGATACCACAGGAAGACATTGACCACCTGATCAGACGCATGCCTAGGCGCGTTGGAGAATGCGTAGCACATCAGGGTGCATCCACACATTATTAAAGGTCAAAGGGCTTTAAAGCAGTGCAATCATTTTGAATTTTTTATCATTTACTTATTATGCTTCATTAAGTACTTATACAAAATTTTTTTAAAATAAAACCATTTAAACTGGGTGTTCGGATTTATATGTCACTTAGTACATTATAAGTCCAGCTACATAGTATACTGCTGGTTACGAATAGATCTAGGCAAGAATTTTCAGTGGCGGGGTATATTTATTTATTATGAGTGAGTTTATGACGAATTTTTTTGGATAATTTTTGAGGCTACATAATGTTTTATATTGGAAAACGCGACATTGTAAGGGCTACGGATATTAAGGCAAATTTTTGAAGAATTCTCTGACATTGCCTATAAACATCGTCATAACTCTTGCATTTGTCCACATCTCGAATTTCAAGTAAGTAAAGTAGACAAAATATCATGAATTACATAAATATTACAAATGTTGCTAGAACTTCTATAAAGCTGCTTTTGAAAAGTTTTTGTCAGTTCTTTCGTAAGCCTTCGTTGCCTTTAAAAAGCATAAATCCTGTTATGTGCTTTCACCGCTAAAGTGCATTGTAACCACGGTTTCACGTACCTTGTCACGATGAATAGGCAGATCTCTAACACAGCTGCTTCATCCTTAAAGTTTGAGCTGGGAAGTTAGTGACGCTAAAAACATTTTTAAATGTTTAGTTCTTTTTATGAAGGGCCCAATAAAAGCTCGCTTATAAAAATGTTGTCTTTTCTTGTATTTACATCCGTTACGTGTATCTCCAAAAGCTAATCCGTGCTTAGCATTGTTAGCCTTTCTCCGGTTTATATCAGTTGCGTGTATGTAAGTATGTAAATACCTATTTCCATCCATTAATCAAAATCAACCTGCTGCTTCTAGTTATGATAAGTGAAATATAGGGTAAAAACTTACAAGCTTATAGCGCTTATTTTTTCTAGACAAGGTAATGAGTCTCATGGATGGATAGCCTGCTGTGACCTTACACGCATGCTATTCACACCACCCGCTTGAAATGTTTTCCACAACTATTTGTCACTATGATTGCGCATTTATTATGCCTATCAATATTACGAGACGCGTCGATGTTTAATTATCATGTATAGGGATATTGTTACCAAATAGGCACGAAATGGGTCAGTCGGGAACGGGGAATACACTTTTTGGGTCGCTGAAACGGAATCCAACGCCCATTCCCCATTCCAAATTTGATGTCGATGCAGTGCTAGAAATTACGGCTAGCCCGGAAGAATAGTTTCCTGTCAACTTTTCACCCTAAATCCAGTCTGATGACACTTTAGAATTTTTTCACTATGATATTCATAATCAGCGCCCCAAATCACCTCATTGTGCAAGGCTTTGCTTTTATGTAGTCATCAATAGTAAAAATGGGTTTTTAGCACTTTAAAGTCGCAAAAAACGCGTAGTTTTACAATTTTTCGCTAAATAACTAGATCTAAATGGTAAACGGGATCAGATACACGTGAAACGGTATCGGATTCGGTATTGGCAGCCCAAAATACGTGTAATAAAGGTCATTTGAACCGCATTTAAAGCATTTCAACATGCAATTATCATGGAACGGAGTGCAAGATGTCTTATATTTATTACGCTTTTTCGGTAGCTGAAATCGAATCCATGGCCCATTCAGTCCGAAAATGCCTCGTTTATGAGATACTGGCAAGAATTCAGCTTTGTCAAAAAAGACTAATAAAAAATATCTAAAAACTGTTGCGCGTCTATGATCGAGACGGAAGCTTGTTTTCTGCGTAAATCGGGTACGTAGATTCCAAATTCGATGTCGATACAGTGATAGAAATTACGGCTAGCCCGGAAAAATAGTTTCCTGTCAACTTTTTACCCTAAATCCAGTCTGATGATATTTTAGAATTTTTTCACTATGATATTCATATTCAGCAGTCAGTCGCATCATGTCTTATAATATAAAAACTGTTGCGCGTCTATGATCGAGACGGAAGTTTGTTTTCTGGGTACGTTGGGTGCGTAGATTCCAAATTTGATGTCGATGCAGTGCTAGAAATTACGGCTAGCCCGGAAGAATAGTTTCCTGTCAACTTTTCACCCTAAATCCAGTCTGATGACACTTTAGAATTTTTTCACTATGATATTCATAATCAGCGCCCCAAATCACCTCATTGCGCAAGGCTTTGCTTTTATGTAGTCATCAATAGTAAAAATGGGTTTTTAGCACTTTAAAGTTGCAAAAAACGCGTAGTTTTGCAATTTTTCGCTAAATAACTAGATCTAAATGATAAACGGGATCAGATACACGTGAAACGGGATCGGATTCGGTATTGGCAGCCCAAAATACGTGGAATAAAGATTATTTGAACCGCGTTTAGGACATTTCAGCATATTATCTGTGTCTTATAATACGCTTTTTGGGTCGCTGAAACCGAATCCATGGCCCATTCAGTCCGAAAGTGCCTCGTTTTCGAGATACTAGCAAGAATTCAACTTTGTCTAAGAAAAAATATCTAAAAACCGTTGCGCGTCTATGTTCGAGACGGAAGCTTGTTTTCTGCGTAAATCGGGTACGTAGATTCCAAATTCGATGTCGATACAGTGCTAGAAATTACGGCTAGCCCGAAAAAATAGTTTCCTGTCAACTTTTCACCCTAAATCCAGTCTGATGGCACTTTAGAATTTTTTCACTATGATATTCATATTCAGCGCCCTAAATTACCTCATTGAGCAAAGCATGGTTTCCATGTAATCATCGATAGTAAAAATGGGTTTTTAACACATTAGAGTCGCAAAAAACGTGTAGTTTTGCCTTTCAACACAATTTTTGTGGAAGTGTATTGCCTCCAAAAAGTTTAAGTAGCGGGTATTAAATTTTCCCAGAGGGGTCAAATCCCGAAAATCCTCAGAATTGTAGGGGGATCTGCTCCCTGGCGGGCGTCCATGTACTTTAAAATTCAAATTCAAATTCAAAGTACATTTATTTGCCAAAAAACAAAAACAAAAAAAAACATTATATGCTAAGTGACATATAAATCCGAACACCCAGTTTAAATGGTTTTATTTTAATAAAATTTTGTATAAGTACTTAATGAAGCATAATAAGTAAATGCTAAAAATTTCAAAATGATTGCACTGCTTTAAAGCCCTTTGACCTTTAATAATGTGTGGATGCACCCTGATGTGCTACGCATTCTCCAACGCGCCTAGGCATGCTTCTGATCAGGTGGTCAATGTCCTCCTGTGGTATCTCATTCCAGGCAACCACCAACTCCTCTCGAAGTGCTTCTAGAGTCTGAGGAGGACGTTGCAAATTGAGCAATCTCCTACCCATCATATCCCACACGTGCTCAATTGGGGATAAGTCGGGAGATCTTGGTGGCCATGGTAACAATGTGACATCATTATGTTGAAAGAAGTCTATTGTGACTCTTGCAACATGTGGTCGGGCATTATCTTGTTGGAAAGTTGGATCTGCCAGGGTGTCAAGATAGGGTAAAAGATGGGGTTCTAGAACTTCGTGGATATAACGCTGCGCGTTCATATTACCTCTGATGAAGATTAAAGGTGACCTGGAACCATAAGCTATAGCACCCCAAACCATAACTCCAACGGTGTGATGAACATGTCTTTCAACAAAAAACTGTGGATTCCTCCTTTCACCACGTCGCCTTGTAACTCTGGCACGACCATCGTGCATGCCTAAACAAAATCGAGACTCGTCACTAAAGACAATACTGTTCCATTCCTGATCCCGGAGTGACCGTTGTTTGCACCACTCAAGGCGATTACGTCGGTGTTCTTGAGTTAAAGGGAGGACCCAGTGTGGCCGGTATGAAAACAAGCCAAAACTTCTCATTCGTCGGTAAACACTTCGCATGCCAATAGGTCTTCCGTGTTCTGCAAACCATTCATTTGCAATGGACCTGGTAGTGGAGAAACGGTCCCTTAAGGCCAATAATCTTAGGCGGCGATCTTCACGATCTGTTGTTCTACGGCGGCGTCCAGTGCCCCTTGCTCTTTGCGTACGACCTTCTCGAAGCCATGCCTGACAACACCTAACCACAGTGTCTACACTTCTTTGCACTCTAACTGCAATTGCCCGAAAAGAAAGTCCAGCTTCCCGAAGTCCCACTATACGGCCCCTATCAAATTCACTAAGTTGACGAAATCGTACAGGTCTCCGTACTCTAGGCATCGTAACCGATCGTAAAGGATGTCAAGAACCAAAATCCGCCAACGTTGATTCTTTACTGCGGCTGAAATATTCATTTTTAGAGCGTTAGTGAAATAAAAAAAAGCAGCATAAAAACCGGAATGTCCAACTGACAAGGCTGAAAATTTGTTATTTACAGTAAGATAAATACATTCAACAACTTTTATTAAAATAAAACCATTAAGCTGTGTGTTCGGATTTATATGTCACTTAGTATATTTACCGTATTATAGAAAACACACACAATTTTTTTTGCAAAAAGGACAAATCCTCGATCAAATGACCGTTAACACCCAGCCTTACATAAGTAGGGTGGGTGTGAAAATGCCCTAGTCGGAGCGACATCAGTATCCAAAAAATTGCGAGAGTTCCAAGGTAAAATGTATCACGACAATGGAGCCAAAGTATTTAGGGTTGATAATCGACAGAAAATTAACCAGCAAATGGAAAATTGAAACCATACAATTTACAAAACTCTCTTCCACAAATATCCAAACCTAACAAAGCGTTTTTCATTCAAAGGTTTCCGAATGGGATCACGAAGGGGTTGAATATCGAGGAGGCAATGTCGGGGACATGTGGATAAATCACTTGGTGCCGCAAGGGGAGGGGTCACTTTGAAGACGACGTCGACGAGTGTTTGTGACGGTAAATCTTGGAGGGAAACTTGACAGAGAATGGGGAGGTTTTGGACGGTGTTTCGGTGCCTTTTGGGACTGCTGCTTACCGTTACGGACGCGATACATTCAGGTGAGTCCTTTAGTGATTTAAGTTGGTCTTTTTATTGTTGTATGTGTATACAAGATATCCAAAAAGCATGATTCCATCAAAGTGTCGCGAAAAATGTGTTCCGAGAGAAAAATTTTGTAAAAGGAAAGGTTTTCACCCTCGAAAATTTTACGAGCAAGCAAGTCCTTGTCTATGACCTTGACTATGACCTTCAAGGTCATTTCAGGACGTCCAAAAGGAATTGAGAGAACAAAGTATCTGGAAAATATGCTGCATCCAGAAAAATGCTTCAGAGCTGTGAGATTTAAAAAGGGCCATCCAATAATTACCCTGAGTGTGACCTTTGCTGCAATATTAGAGAATTTGCGATGATTTAAGGATATAGCGGGTCACTGTTCTGGAAGCAAGAATAGCAATATTCCGTTGGAAAATTTATTTGACCTCCAAGTGACCTTGAAGATCATTAACAAGGTGACGGTCGAGTACGTAATAGTGACCTTGGCCGTAAGACATTTCGCTTTTTTATATCCCCAACAGAAAGTAAAGAGCTTAATTGAACATTTATCTAAACTTCTAATGGGCTGAAGGTCATACTCTGGTTTACTGGCAGCAACGACATACTTGGACACACACCTTTCTGCTCTTTACATTTCTGTCATATCAAAAATAGGGGTTTACAATTAAGAAAACTGTTTTGACCTTCAAATATCCTTGAAGGTTATAGTCAAGCTTGTGTTCAAGGTTACCATTCGTTGACTGTTTTCAAACTTCACGCCTTTTTGTTACATTTTCCTTTATGAAACCCATCTATCGAGCTATTTTATATATTTGGGTACTGTCAAATATCCACCAAGTTCAAGGTCATGGGCAAGGACACACTTGGACGTATAGTTTTCCCCTTTTTCCATTTTCGCTGTTAACAATAGGGATTTCTCTTAAAAAATCTGTCGTGACCTTACACGTAATAGACAAGGTCATATTCAAGGTCATCATTACAGTTTACTGTATGAGACATTTAAATGTATTTAAACAACAAAAGATGCTCGGATCGAGTGGATGATTATAAGAATGTAAATAGAGAAATATCAGCCAGCTAATAAATATTGTGCGTCGGACCCAAAATACGATGTAATATGGTAGCGACACAGACTTTTTTATCCTTTTTCGTTACACTTTCATGAAGATTGAATTCTGCATTATTCAACAGAAAGGTAAACGATAAATTTATAATCAAAGGTATTCACAAAGGGCCATTTAACTCCAATCAACGTTTGTATTAAGCGACCCTTTTACTTTCAACGCTACATCCTATTGAAATTTATATATTATCATCCGCCGGTATTAAAATTTTATATAAAGCTAAGCAAATTGGAGTAGTCGTTTCGTTTTAATATAATTACCAGTAATCCACGTACCATGAAGTTCCAACTCTATCCTTGCGTGTTTTGGATGTTTTCCAATGTCGGTGGGAGTTCAGAGAAGATTTTACAGAGACTTAATGAATCAGGTTGTTGAGAAAAGCGCTTTTGGCAAGACAAGAATGTGTATTTGATTGTTAACAACTAGCAGTTAACTTGGAGAGCGGTACGGAAGTTTGGAAATGATTAGATATTTTATGATAGTCTCAGGGTGGATTTCATCAGGATTGTCAAATCAACAGTTCGTTATTCTCCACTTATAGGGTAACAGTCCGTATTGTGCATAAAATAAAAATGATGTTAAGAATTTATGTATCTCATTAATCGCAGCAGCTGTACAAGGCTTAGATAATACCTAGCTTCGAGTACTGCTCACATATTTGGTGTGCTGCCGCCTCGACCACATTGTCTATACTCGATGCTGTTCAGATGAGGGTTGTTCGACAAAGGGATGATACTTGTCTACATGGTATTTTGCAGAACGTGTATCTCAAACTGCGGTTTTGTAATACTATCCTCATAACCTATTTGCCGTTTTACTTTGCGTACAAACGTCGATACCACATTTTCTACATTGAAAATGGAAGGGACGCAGGAAGAATGAAATAATCACAAAGAGTTTCTCCTATTTCTTCATAAATACACGGAGAATTTAATAGCGGAAAAGAGTATGTAAATTAAAAATTAGCTCGCAAGCCGAATTGCCGGAGAATTAAATAAACACGGACGTTTTGCAGACGCCATTTCGGATGTTAGCGCACTTAGCGGGTATTCTATTACCTTATTTAAGAATGATCGTCGTTTTAACGTCGTTTGTGTCGTCGACATTCGTGAAGCATCTTAATCACCTTGACGAAGCCTATTGTTCAGGAATAGTGCATCTACTGGATTTCAAATTGGATGCCATTTAAACGCAATTAGAGCAACAGCGTCGCTTTAATGTCCAAAGTTATCGGTGCGTGGTTCTAACACAGTATAGGGCCAGTAAAATCACTCTGGATTATACGGGGTGTCCGCAAAGTTGGGGTTTTCCTTTTCAGAAACAACTACCCTTGAAATAACAAAGGTAATGTGTAGTGAAACGAGGGCGACCAAGTAAAAAAATAAAGAAAAAAGTACTCACTCTCCAGTTGACGAGAAGGGCTAAGTACATCTCTGCCCGAAATCATACCGCTCCAACAGAAAATGAAATCAGCTGATGCGCTACCGAGCAGACGCCGGCGGTGGTGCAGACCAGTAGACCACGAACAGACGTAACAAATATGATCATCGTGCAGAAACCACATTGACTGTCTTACACTTAATGGCACATCTTCTAACAAGGAAGGCAAAATGTTGCGTAAAAAGTCTAGGTATTGCATCCCGTCCAATCGATTTGGGAGAATAAATGGTCCAATGAGCATACCGTTCACCATGCCAGCCCAAAGATTCACCGAAAATGTTTGTTGAAAATGTGCCCGACGGACAGCGTGCGGATTTCCTACTGACCAAACATGAGTGTTGCGAAAGTTATTCACCCCATTACGAGTGAACGTAGATTCGTCTGTCACCAATATGCACTTCAAAAAGTCCGGATTATTGTCATGTTGATGCAACAATCACTCACAAATCCGCACTCTTGCTGGAAAATCGTCAGGTTGAAGGGATTGTACACGTTGGACGTGAAACGGATACAGCCCCTCTTCACGCAGCGTTTGCCACACTTTAGTTTTTGATACTTGCACTTCTCTAGCCACGTCTCTAGTGCTTGTTGTTTTTTGAAACGCAATCGATTATATGGGTTCGTTTACCTCTACACGCGTGACCGTAACCGTCGGTTGAAGGTTGCATACTGACCTGACACACTGACCCCGACCCAGTTCTGCCGTCGTGTTGAGACCTTGTACCAATCGGTGATGTCCCGGGTCGCGGCTACAGGACGGTATTCAGATATTTTTGATGTTGCAGAGCCCTTTATCTCGGTTCCCTTAAGACATTGGTGTATATGGTACTAAGAAAAATTGCTTATGTTTTCAAGATCTACACGTCGTGTAAAGGAAAACCCCAACTTTGCGGATACCCTGTATTTCTTTATTCTATTAGCATTGCAACTGACCTCTATCTGAGGTATAAGATCTTCTGCTGGCTTATTTTGACAGCTAGAGTACTATCTCGAAGCAGTAAAAGAAGACAAAGGAAAATTTATTCGTCAGACTTAACATAAGGTGGACCAGAAAGTGCTTCAATAATAAAAACAGCCTTTCTCATACTTGACTGACACATATCTAACGCTGCCACTAATTTTGGGGCTATGAAACTATTCTTCATTTAAAATAGTTATACGATACAAATAAAGCAGTGTTTTTATTTGACTAGCAAGAATAAGGTTTTGGAATCCATACATGGTTTCCCTATTCACTTTAAATTTCAAGGTTTGACCGTTTTTCGGTCGCAATAATATTCACTTTTTTGACTTGCTAGAGTCAAATGGAAAGATATTAGTAGATATGCGTTTGAAAAAAGAACTTTCATTTTTTTAGGACATCCGAATATACATATACAGGGTGTCCCGAAAAAGGTGTGCAATATTCTACCAGCGGTTTCTAGAGCTTAAAATAGGAAGACAAGTTTATATAAACATAGGTCGATAAACGTCCCCTAAGGGCGCTACCGTCTTTTAAAGGGGCTCCGCTGAAGATGGTTTTTCCTTAATATTTCCGAAACGTGTTGAGATAAAGACATAAAATTTGGTACTCTAGCCTAGTTTTTTATGCTGGATTTAAAAATATTAACAATTTTAGACAGTTTTGTTTGGAAGCGTATGTGACAGGGACGGACTCAGGTTATTTTAGCCCCAAAATTTTTATATTAAATATTAAGGAAAAACCATCTTCAAGGGAGCTCCTTAAAAGACCGTAGCGCCCTTAGGGGACGTTTGTCGACCTATGTTTATATAAACTTTTCTTCCTATTTTAAGCTCTAGAAACCGCTGGTAGAATATTGCACACTGTTTCGGGACACCCTGTATATTTTTTTCTTCTGTAGTCGTGAGTCAGTATTTAAGGTAAATCGCAACTGCGGAAAAAGACATATGATTCATTATTTTACATAGTTTAAGAGCTCTTGGAACATGGCATGAGGAGATCTGGGTCAGAACGTTACTTGGAGAAAAGTACTAATTCTTCTTCAACTAAATCTTGGGTGAACAGTTTGAGGGACCCATGAGCAGAGATATGATTCCAACTATACTAAGTGACATATAAATACGAACACCCAGTTTAAATGGTTTTATTTTAATAAAAGTTGGTGAACGTATTTACCTTACTGTAAATAACAAGTGAAAAAATGTTCAGCCTTATCAGTTGGACATTCCGGTTTTTATACCGCTTTTTTTTAAATTCACTAACGCTCTAAAAATGAATATTTCAGCCGCAGTAAAGAATCAACGTTGGCGGATTTTGGTTCTTGACATCCTTTACGATCGGTTACGATGCCTAGACTACGGAGACGTGTACGATTTCGTCAACTTAGTGAGTTTGATAGGGGCCGTATAGTGGGACTTCGGGAAGCTGGACTTTCTTTTCGGGCAATTGCAGTTAGAGTGCAAAGAAGTGTAGACACTGTGGTTAGGTGTTGTCAGG